TGGGAAATTTGAGGTATCTTTTCCTCTTTTTTATTACTATAATGAAATAAAAATTGGAAAGAAGCTTTAAAAGTACCATGGGAAAAAATTACAAGGTAAAAGTGCACTTATTTTTCAATACACAAAGAATTACCTCTTTATTCTTGGGCTACTACTATTCCAGTCTGGATAGTTCAAGTTATCTGCAATGACATTTCAACCAATATTGAATTAATATAGTGAATTTAGTTAAAATCAGATCTGATATTGCAGCTTCTGATTCTACACATCTATAAACCAATTTTCTGCAAGGAAACTGGTGATTAAACTATTACTTGTATTTGTATATTACTCTTAATTTATTTTTGTGAGAGAGTTGTCACATGTGGAGGAAGTTGCTATTGGAATCTAGTGGATAGGAATGCTGCTAAACATCCTATAATATGGAAGGCAGTCCCTTACAGCAAAGAATTTATTAGTGATATTTAGATGTGCATTTTTCCTTGGAAATGACTGTGGCCTATTGTAGGCATCAAAGATCCATTTTTCAGTTCAAGAAAGATTCCTAATAGCTATTGTCAATTTTTTTCATCACATATGATTGTTTTCAGCTGGCGTAGATAAGTTTTTATTTTAAAAAATAAATAAAATACACAAAAGACCCTTCAAGAAAGAGCATTTCAAAATGGCCTTGTTTAGATACAACATTTAGGTGTATTTTTTGTAATCTCATAAAACACACAGTATTTGGATTCAGGAGTTGTGTCCGTCTTCAACTCTGCCTTAAACCAAAAATCATGCCCAAACTTAATTTAAGATAGCCTAAGTAGGAGAGAGGTCAAGAGAAACCAGCCCAGATGGACAGAATGAGGATCATGAGGTATCTTGATGCAACCAGGCTTCCTCACAGTAAAGTTTTCATATGACAAACAGCATCACACTGAGGTGAATCCTCTGAAACAACCAGGATCATGTAGAATGTCTGTTCCAGATTTCCATTGCCTCAGTTCGTTACATAGTTTTGGTCTTTATTCATCTTCCTCATCACATTGGTGTCTCTCTTGGATGTATCTGTTCATTAGTGCTTTCCAAATGATTTTCAGATATGCTTTCTCATTTGATACCAAGAAATACCCTTCTAACTATCTTCATTGCACAAACAGATACATAATGGATTAACAGTACATCCAGGCCTAGTATTTTGTATAATTTTTCTCACTCTATCCTATTTTTTACTTACCCCACCACCACATAACAATTTGTCCCATTTTCTGCCCCTTTTCTAATGCAGTTTCTTTTTATTGCCAATTTGTTTTACACCTCTTTATATAAAAATCTGTTCCTTCTATAAGTGGGTAATTAGAAAAGATGGGTCAGTTTACAGGTAAAAGCACCACCTCAAGTAAGACTTTTAACGATAAAATCTAAAAGTTACTCTCTGTGAAGTAGCAGTAAATCTACTACCACTGACAATCACTATTTATTTCCCTTCTCCCTTTCACTTCTGCTGCCACGTTTATGTCTGAATACAGGGTCAGGGATGGAAGGTGGAGCTTATTGGCTCCTTATACTGGATTCATCACTTGTCAGCCATGGAAAAGTTAATTAATCTACCCATGCCTCATTTTCACTATTTGTGAAATGGAGATGATGATAACAATGTCAAGGACCTCACTTTCTTATTGAAAAAATATCTTAGATAACAAATATAAAGTGTATATCATAGTCCTTACTAAAATGTGAGCACTAAGTAGTTGCTTGTTATTGTTTTTTATAGCAAAGTACCCTGAAATGGGGTCATGTGATTTTTTTCTGTAAAAGATTTTGATTTTATCAATAAAAATTACCAGCTCTTAAGGTCATATTAAAGACATCTCACTATGCATGTATCTAGGTTTCTAGTTCTCTATCTACCTAAGGTCAACTTCATAAATCAATATTCATTGAGTAATTACTACAGACCCTTAAAGGTTTTACTACAGTAGTTCTAAACTGGGGGTAACTTGCATGGCAAGGAGATATTTGGCAATATATGGAGATAGTTTTCATGATCACCATTGGAACCTGCTATGGCATTGGGTGGGTTGAGGCCAACGATGCTGCTGAACATCCAAGAATGCAGGACCACCCCCACAACAAAGAGTTACCCAGCCCTAACCATCAATAGTGCATCATCATTTAGGAGCCTTACTCTTCTGGTAAAGGAAGAAGCATAAGAGGTCATCACTGCAAGCAGTTTAGTTAGAAAATACCTGTCAAATAATACATATGTGTTTAGAATGGTACCTGTTAACACAGAAATAGGGTTATGGTCAATTCATCTTGAGAACTGGTTGGATTCATAAGAAGGCATATAAACAGAGACATAACTGGGTGTTTAGATAAGTCGCATGGCCTTGAAAATATATACCTTAAAAGCATCTGGTTTACAAAAATTTAATATAAAAATAGATATTATATTTTCAACTACTTGCCATATTTTTTCTTTGAGCTACTTGTTGGAATGCTATAAATACTTTTCTTTAAATGAAGACTACATACTCTATAGTAGGGATGCAGGTTTAAGTAACACAGGTTGATATTGATATTACCTGGGGCATTTCGAGTTGACATAATAAACTGGTATTTATTTATTCGTAGATTTTTTAATGTATTTTGAAATATTCCATTTCATAATCATTTGCATTAACTGGTGTTTATGTGAACATGACCAATATCAATGGCATGTGCATTTGATCACACAATCACTGTACTTGTTCTTGTTCCTACTCAAGAGGAAATCAGTCTCTTTTTTACCTGACTGCTTTTCTTCTACAATTTCAAACCTATCTATCAGAATGGCATTTCATGCTGGACTTTTCTGATAAATTTTTGGTAGAGATAGTTGTATACAGGAGCACATATGTGTGTGTGTGTGTGTGTGTGTGTGTGTTTAGGTTTTCACTTAAAGTTCAGTGCCAAAACTATAGTACTTCCACATTTTCTAAACGTTTTAAGCAATAAGTTGTGCAACATTTTTAGAACATGTGTTAAGCTATTTCTCTAAGAATGAAGCTCTTAACAAAACATAAGCACTCTGCATGAGATCTTAGCAGCAAAGTGCTTAAAAGATAAAGTAAGAATTGGTACCATGGGAAGAACACCAGCTGTAGAGCGCACAGGTCCATTATGAGAAGTATGGTAGTGGGTAGGGAGAAAATGATTTAATCAGGAGTAAAACCAATTTTATTATAAGGGCACGCAGGGGGTGTGGCACCATAGTGAGAGGGACATTTCAAAATATCTGACAGATTTCAACAATGTGAAAACCCCGTTCTTTAAAGTGACAGTAAACCCCATCAGGTCTCCCTTTTTGATGCTATTGTTAACAGTTGACTGTTTAAAGCTGGCCTGCTAAGATGCTGTCGTCCTATTTCAATAGTGTGTAGCCAAATAAAAGACTAATTGTTGAAATACAATCAATCACAAATGATTTCAAGACAGAAAGAAGGTCTCCTCTGCTGATTTAGTTGTGGATCATATTATTGTGTTATGACTGAGGTAGGACTGATGACTGAAAAGGAGGAAAAAATAGGCCATCAGAAACACACAGATCCACCTTCAATGCTTCTCATTGCACACGTCCTAGTGAGCAGAAGCATCACTCGCTAGCCCTGGAAATAATAACCCATGTAGAAAAAAAAGATCTGATAAAGATCTCAGCTAATATTTTTAAAAGGATGTGAACAGTATTAGCAAAACAGTTCACGCAGAGATTCCCTACAGTGACAATTCTCAGCTTTTAAAAAAAAAACCATTTTTTGGTGCAAATTCTTCTCTGCAGTGAAAAACTGACACCAAGGAGGCATGTGAATGTTAGGTTAACACATTGATAAAGAAACAAAATTCCAGGTGACCAAATACCTGTTAAGTTCTTACCAGGATATTCAGCTTTTCAATTAACCCTCAGGTTGTCTAAAATGATTAGCTTTAGTTTTCATTAAGTCCAAATTCCAAAATTTTTTCTATGTCACATAGAAAACTGGACAAATGTGATGGATCAGCAGCGAAGCTCTGTTGCCTTGAGTCCTTTTACTTGTATGTAAGGATGTCATTTTCAGACCCTATTGTACCCACTTCTTGGGTGAAAATGATGCTAGGCTTTCATACTGAGAGCAAACAAGAAAACAATAATTGCTCAACATCTCTTTATTTCATATCATAACTTCATTTTGGCATTTATTTCCTTTAATATTTCAAATTTTCAACTCAGGCTTCCCAAGCAAGCATTTCCGTTGTTTATAAGAGCAGTTGGTAAGCATTTGTGGTTTGTCTTTAGTGTGTTATCATTTTGACAGCTTTGCATAGCCTACACAGGCCAACAGGGGTCTGTCTAATATTGTTGCTGGGTACATTTTCCTCGATGAGATGAAAACCAAAAAAAAAAAGATATTTTTGAAGCAGTAAGAAGGAATTAATATCCTTTCTCACTCAGTATTCTATTCCTTACTGACTTTATATTCAGAAAAAAAGGAAGAAAGAAAGTGTTACCCATTATTCCCTTGTACATAGCAAGGCTAACACATGTAAAGCAATAACTCATTTTCTATTGCCATGTTTAGCATATGTCTCCTGTTGGCTCAGCAAGGCCTTTAGGCCGGTCCCTTGAGCCGGCCATCATTGGCAACTCTTAGCCCCTCGGCCTCAAAACCAAATAGCTTTGAATCACGTTGAGCTGTGATGCTAATTTTCATACTGATGCATTATGGGAATAAATGTATCTGACATACTGTGTCAATGGCACTGTCTCTTTGTGTCTCTTGTTTTTTTGTTAGCTGCATTCCTACAGATGGTATTCCATTGAAAACGTTTCCTTCCTACGGAAAAAAAAGGGGGGAAAAAACATGCACAGCACCAAACCTCTAGGTGCAGAAGGCTGTTAACGGTTGCTGATGATAGTAGGCAAACATTAACATAATAATTAGTGTCTTGTAATTGTTTCATTAAAACCAGTTGTTCCATTTCTCCTCGTGTTTTCCCAGAAGAGAAGCTGAATTTGGACGACAGCCAGTGGGAGGACATCCACGTTGTCACCGGAGCACTGAAGATGTTTTTCCGGGAGCTGCCTGAGCCGCTCTTCCCTTACAGCTTCTTTGAGCAGTTTGTGGAAGCGATCAGTAAGTACCTTACACACAGGCGCGCTTGCTGGAATAAGCTGGCAGCATGGAATTATTAAGCAAATAATAAGAATTTCGATAACAGCAATCATGGAGATAACAATATTCCCAGTGCTCCACATCTTCCATTTTAGTGTTTGTGGTTTCAATGGCTTATTTTTATTTCTGGTCCTGTAATGCCATCTTTTATTTTTAATTAAGAAAAAAAACTAGAAATTCTATTCAGGATGGCCAATTTTCAACCAAGCCTCCTTGAATAAAAGTAGCTTCTCATATACTCTGTTTTAAAGGGGTCACCATTGGCATCCCCAATCCCTTCCTTTATACTCTGAGTATAAAGGAATCTTTAAAAATAACTCCAGTGCATTAAATATTACATTTCATAAAGAAGTGTCAAATCATCAACTAGGTCATCACCTTCTCTTCACTCACTCACATCTCACCCACCTGCACTAGTAAATATTCACCTGCAATTTGCTTATGAGCAGTTTATTAAATTAAGTAATGGCAAGTTTCTTCTTCTATTAGGCTGATTACTTTGTGGGAGGTTGAGTTATATCACTTACTAGCCAATTGTCACTGTTCACTCTATGAAGCTTTCTTTTCTATTGCTTTCTCATCCATAACACACGCATATTTCAGTAAAAATGAATGAATGAATGAATGAAAAATTTTCCAAACGCAAAGGAAACCTGTGCTATTGATTCTTAGGGAAGAGACTCCTAGTTCATCTCTCAATTTAATAGTTTAGGGTACACTGACTCTTGTGCCAGCTTGGAAAAATTTCCCTGGCAGCAAGCTGATTGAAGGAAGAAAATGAAAGAAGAAAGAAAGGTAAAATAAAAAGCCTGCAAGCCTGGCAGGAGCTTAATTAAAGTCCAAACTAGAAAAATCTGCAAGAAAAAAATGCTCTACTTAGGAGGTCTGATCTTGGCTGGTGGTGTGTGCTGGGTTCCCATTAACGGGAGTGGGGATTTGGGGAGCCCAGGTTGGAGAACAGCCCCTTGAGATGCCCTTTGATTCTGTTTTTTATTTCACAAAAATAAAGTTCTGACAAAATGATACCGACAGGAATAAAGCAGAGTTTATTCTCCCAAATTCTTTCTATTGTTATCTGCTCATGATTTAGGATTGTGTTGTTATTGTTGTTGTTATTATTGTTGTTTGGCTGGTATACACAGTAGCTCTGCTCAAATGATGGGTTTTGAGGGAAGGCTCTTATCTCCAGTCATAACATTTCATTTCATGAGTCCTCTGCTTCTCGAGAAAAACAGTATTTTATAGTTCCCAGACTCTTTTAACTTAAAAGGAGGAATAAAGAAAAAATAAGTAAACTCGCATGTCCATAACAGCTGAATCTGATGTTTTGTCTTGGAACACACAGTATGGATACTATTCACAATGAGAGGATGGTGTTCTGGTAGGAAGTTGGAGAGACTTGCCTTTGGGAACCTATCTCTGTTTATGTGTATTTAAAGAGGTCATGCAAATTTTATATCATGGTTTCCAAATATTTAAGTGAAGGTGATGTTATTTGGCAACATACTTGTACATGTGCTGATTTGAGGGCTTTAATACAGGACACCCATTAGTTAAGCTTCCCTTAGTTTACCAGATTTTAATGTTATCAGGCAAGCCATTCCTTTACCTTAAGAGATAGAGGAAGCAGGCCCTCAAAACTCAGGTGAGGGTGGGCTCTTTGAATTTCCAGAAAGAGTAGGACCATCTCTGTACTATCCTAGGACTCAGGTCCAAACTGGACAGAATCTCAGAAACATGGTCAGAACGAGGCAAAGCTGAGGCGGGACGCATGCTGTTGTGACGATGGCTGCTGTCAGTACTTATAAAACGGGTGATGGTGAGAATGGATGAGATGGTGCTTAAGAAAGTCCTTTTAAAATGTGAGATGCTGTATACATGCCAACAGCTGTACTTGAGAAATCAATCTGGAAGTGAAGAGACAAGAGAGTTTTCCTTCATTGTTCATTCAGGCAAGGGGAATCAATTTGAGCAAACTTGCCTTATCTAACTCAGGACAGTACTTAATATGTAAAATGAAGGGACTGACCAACATAGCAATATGTCTGAGAAATATGTTATGAGGATGGACAAAGGTATATGTTTACTAACCCATGTATTTATGACATAACCTTGGATTAGTTTTTGTGATCTAAACTCAGCTCTAGGTTGTAAATCATATTGAAATATCTTCAAGAAATGAGAAAATAGCCACCTATTTCTTGTTAGTGGTAAAAGCACACCAGAGGGAGTACTTTTACCCCATTGTATGCCAATTGAGTAAAAAAATTTTTCAAAATATAAAATATAAATATGGACCCTCTGGGTACATCCAGTCCCAGAGGTACACTGCATTTACCATAGCTCTCACTGCCTCTTGTAAAATCTATACAGCAAGAAGCTCAACAAATTTGCCCATGAGTTCTTGGCTTTTTTATAAGAGGAATAAACCAGGAATTGATCAAGTAAATTCACAGGGGAGATGACCATGTACATGGCCTCTCGGCCTCTTTGGCCATTCTCATCCTTCTCTTCTATGCTCTGCATGGTTGGAAGCTTGACCTTAGCCGGCTGCTCAGGTGCTCTTAGGGTTGTCTTCCTGCTACTGTAGTCCATGGAAGCCACCAGCAGTAGATAGCAGGAAGAAGAGAAAGAGAAGGCAAGCCAGTTTATTAGTTTACCTCCGCACCCCCTCTCCCTTGCCCATCCCTCTGCCCTAGTTGGCTTCTTTGCCTAAGGTTCCACCTCCTCCATGGCTCCAGCTTGGGTTGGACAGACTCACTCTGGTTCCAGCTTGTCTTGTGATGTTGTGCTGCCTCTCTCTGCCCCTCCAGCATGGTAGTGGCTTTCTTTTTTGGTTTCTTCTCTCCTCCTTACTTGGCTATTAGCTTCTTCATTACATGGGTAACCAGTTCCCTGCACTAAAATAATTTGCTCTGTTGGCATAAATACTTGATGTGGTTTCTGGTTTTTTGTTTGTTTGTTTGTTTGTTTGTTTGTTTGTTTAAATACTAGCAGAACATGAAGCCAGTCAATGTCACAGTTCATATAGCTATAACATTATTTCCCTTTTCTCTCTCACTGTCCCTAAGCCCAGTTTGTGATGGTTTAACATTTTTATTTGGTCCCAAATAGAGAGATCTTTCACCCTTGTAGGACAGAGTTGAAAGGTGAATAGACCAAAGCAATTGTACATCCATCTGAAATGCTTTACCTCTGAGGAAGAAATTTTATTTTATGTATAAGCAATTAATGACTACTTGTGCTATTTAAATTACTGTTAATTTTCATTATATGTTTGAAAGTCATCATTACACATTCCAAGAAAAGAGAACAGAAGGCATTCACTTTTTAAAATAGTTTTTTTTGGACCCAAAGCAAACAGTGTGATAAGAACCTGCAATTGCCATAGTGATCCTCTGTCTGATAATACCCATTGGGGTAACAAAAACACTAGAGATTGTTTTATATTTCAGAATCCAAGTACCAGAGTATTGATCTGAAATTCTATATTTAAGGTCAATGCAACTGGGTCACCTGCAGGGTGTTTTAGTGGGGATTTAACCCACTGACTGCAGTGACTAATTCTCTGGAATTGACTTACGCTGAAGGCATAATTAGTACTATAAATGTGAACTTGGTACAGAAACCCAGCTATAGACTTTAATGATAGGTCATACAATCTGTGGCTAAAGGCCTGAAGAGGTCTGGACATTTCCACTTTTCAAAGGATATTCCTCACCAGTTCAGGTAGAATTTATTTTATTCCACTCCAAATATTGCTTAAATTCTTGGCCGTATTTCATTTCCTTTGTTGGATCATGATTTTCCTGTATAGATTTTTTTTTTAGTTTACAGTTGCTTTTTCCTCATATTTTTTTCTTTTATAATGCCCTTACTCTTTTCTGACACTATTGTCCAAAGTCTCATTTTTTCCAGGATGTCTCCTTTCTAGAGCCTTCTGTCTTCTAATTCATACTCAATGGTTGCTTCCAGGGAACCTCAGGGATTTCTTTCTGCTTTCTGAGCTAGAACCACCATTTCTTACAATACATGTGTATTAGTTTTCTACTGCTGCCAAAAATTGCCTCAAAGTTAGTGGCTTAAAATATAGTGATTTATTCTTACGGTTCTATAAGGAAGAATCCTGACCCTTGGTCTCACTGGGCTAAAAGCAAAGTGTCAGAGGGACTGCATTTCTTTCTGGAGGTTCCAGAGGAGAATCCGCCTCCTTGCCTTTTCCAGCCTCTAGAGGCTGCCTCCATCCCTTCGCCAGTGGTGTCCTTCCTCCACCTTCACAGGCAGCAATTACCTGACATCGTGCCACTCTGCCCTCTTCCATAGTCAAACCTCCCTCTGATTTTCTTTCTCCTCCATCTCCTATTTTTGAGGACCCTTGTGATTACATTGGGCCCTCACAGATAATCCAGAACACCTTCCTTATCTCAAGGGTCTTAACTTAATCATATGTAAAAAATTTCTTTCACCATGTATGGTAACATATTCACATACATATTCATGCTTGGGAGTTAAGGTGTGTACATGTTTGTGGAGGCATTTTTCTTTTTTTTTTAATTTTTACTATTTTATTTATGTATCTTTAGAGGGGAAGGAAAGGAGAGAGGGGGAGAAATATCAATGTATTGTTGCCCCTCATGCATCCCCTGCTGGGAACTGGCCTGCAACCCAGGCACGTGCCCTGACTGGGAATCGAACCGCAGTTGTTCGGTTCGCAAGCCCACACTCAATCCCCTGAGCTGCACCAGCCAGGGCGACATTCTTTCTGCTCCATGTTTTGCCCTCTCTTAGTTCCTCTGGTTAGCACCTGATTTACCTCCATGTCATAAATGCTCTTAATTCATCAATTCTCATGTGCCTTCTCTTAAATACAAATGATCAGAGTTGACGTGTCAGTGAAACTGTACACTAATTAGTAGATGATAGAGAAGTAAAGAGAATTTACCTCACATATTTACCTACAA